GTTGTCAGAGCTCATAGGCTAAAATGCTGATTCTTCCAGAACACGGTCAACATAACGGGCTCTCAGTGCGCACCTGTTTGTTTGTGTGTATCTACTGCACCTCTGCAAAGTGTGCAAGGTCACCGGTGTGTAAGAGATGCCATTCCCCTAAGGATCTGCACAAAGGTCGGGGAGTGTTCACTGGGCTTTGGGTTAGTTATGTCTTAAGTCAGTAAAGGGAAGGTATCATTTGTTAAATGTCTATATTTAATGAAATAAGGAGAGTGAACATGGAGCCTTTACTTGGGTCGCCACATTTTTATTATCAAAACCAAGGCACTTTGAAGAGAAAATGGGGGCACTTATCAGTTAGGTTGGGGACAACAGGACCACCCTCAAACAATCAGGACATCAGATTGCCCTACCACGGGGGGCTATAAGTCAATGAGTTGGGTAGTCAACTATACTTTAGCATACAGAGAACAGATTCAAGTTATTTCATCTCTGAAAAGGTCACTGACTTGTAACACTGTAGCATCCATAGAAGACTCATGACTCTATAACACTCACCATAGACCAACTGCCCTAGGAACTATGGCTGAAGATGTCAAGAATTTTCAAAGACGCTGGCATCAAGTTTCAGAGTTTAAAAAAAAGCCAATTAAAGCAAAATGTTGGTCTGAGTTTCATAATAATTTTTGCTCCCCAGAGGATAACCTGTCAACTGAGCAAAACTGACAGCAGGAGCTACTAAAGTCCTATAGCATGAGGAGCATTGTGACAGGAACAATGCCACTTTGGGGGGACAGAAGGCAAAGGACAATCCCAGTTATTTGGAACAGGATATTTATGTATAAATGTGCACCTTTTGCTTCCTGTTCATTCACACAGAGAAGAAAGAAAAACCAAAAAGATAGAAGTAGACTGGTCCGCATGCCTGCATAGCAAGATTGGCATATCTACAACCTCAAAAGAAGAGACAGCACAAGGTTGGTAGCCGGGCTGACCTGGGTTGGCCGGGCTCACCCACCCTCCTCACAAACAAAAGCTATACAATGCAGAATTTGTGTCTTTTCTCTCTGCGGTGGCAAAATACCACACAAAAGCAACTTAAGGAAGGATCTGTTTTGGCTCACAGCTCAAGGGTATACAGTCCATCATTTGGAGAAGCCTCAGTGACAGGAAGCAGTCATGTTACATCCAGTCAGGAACAGAGGTATGAATGACAGAGCTTAGCTCCCTTTCTCCTGTTGGACTTTTTACTCAGTCTAGGACCTTGCCCCATGGGATGGTGACACCCATGCTCAGGGTGGGTCATCCCTCCTCTGCTCATCCTTTCTGGAAATGCATTCACAGACATGGGCACAAGTGTGTCTCCTAGGTGATTCTAAATCCAGTCCAGTTGACAGTGAAGATGAACCCATCATGGACACTGTGGCTTTAGCACAGCAGCTATCAACAGGCAGGCAGGAACTGACTCTAGGGGACATAATACAAGGACAGGAGAGGCTTTGGTCACCCTAGTTGATGGGAAGTCTGCTGCTAACAGCTAGTCAGCGGAGGCCTGGAATGCTTCTCAGCAGCCAACAGCGAACAGGGTAGCTCCCCCTATAAACACTGCTGAGACTAGAGACTGGTTAATGTGACACTATGGACCTCCTAAGTAGAGAGGGGAGGGACCAGCTGCATGGTTGGGTGACAGGATCTTCACAGAACAGAGCTCATTATGAGTCCTGGTTGTGAGACTTGGTTCTGACCAGAACCTGGACAGTCATAGGGACAGCCACAAAGCCACCACACAGAGAGAGAAACAAAATCCCTGAGGCCAAGTGAGCCTGTCTGCAGCATAGGAAAAATAGTGTATACAAATACAGAGAATTGACAGCTTAGGAAGCAGGGCTAGGAAGAGAAAGTAGGTCAATGGGCACCACATCTGTGAAGGGTGTGTCTTGTCCTTGTGAGCCCTTCATCCCCACTGCCCTTCACTGGCTACTACTATAAGGTAAGCAGTGTCGTTACATCCTGTGTTTGCCACCATGATGTTTTCCTTCAGCACTGGCCCAGAATCAACAGAGCCAAGTGATCATCAGTTGACATCTGTGAAATCATGAGACTAAATAAATCTCGGGTGGGGTTGGGGGGATAAGGAAGGGACACATACTCAGGAAATCCATATCTACTCTAGATGAAGTCAGTTTTCCTGGGTGGTCTGATCAGGTCAGGGGAGATTCAGTATTCAATGGAAGGCTCAACAGAAGTCACACACCATACTTGGCCTTTGCACTGCTAGACCTTTCTACTTCCAGAATCTTCCTTCTGATTCCCTTCCTACCCTCTCTTCTTCTCCCTATTTAATAAGATGTGGGTGGATGCTGTCTCCTCTGCAGGAGCAGCACAGTAACTGCTCCAAATCCTGGCTCCTGCCCCATGTCCCACACATACCTACCTCATCCCAACCCTCCCACAAAAAGCCCACATCCACCCAGTGTATGCCTCGGCTCAGGCTGCTGTAATGGATGGAGTTCTACATGCCAAAAGACTCAAAGAGCAGACAGTTCTGGAGGTTAGGTATGCAAAGTCAAGTGTTCACAGGGTTGGTTCTTGCTGGGGCATCTCTCCTTAGCTTTCAGATGGCTATAACCTCACATTGGTCTTTTGATGTCTATTGCCCTCTTCTGATAGAAACACACACTTCCAGTTCCCAAGGTTGGGAGTTCAATATCAAGGTGTCCACGCTGGATGAGGATCTGTCATAAAGATCTCATTTACCTTTGCTGCATCTTTAAAGACCCAATGTGCAAGTATGCTCACATTCTGAAGTACAAAGAACTTTAACATGGGGACAAGGAGGCAAGGTGCACAGCAGTGCACAGCATGAATGAGCCTGTACACTCAGACTGTGCTCCCCACCATCTTCTCCACCCAATTCCTAGCACTTGCTTGAAGTTATGCTTCCCAAATGAACATGGCTACACCTTGGGATTCACAGCTCATTTCTAATGCAGCCAAACAGTTTTTAACCTGCTCAGTGGCCATTTTTTGAGTGAGCAGATGGATGAAGAAAGGACACAAGGCTCCAATTGGACACAGTCACCTGGAATGATGCTCTCTTCCTTCCCTGAGGCCAGCAAGGCTCCCACCTGCTCCATAGGCCTCAGGCTCTGGCAGGCTGAATTGACGGTGAGAAGCCGGGATAGACCCACAGCGGCACTACCCTCTGTCCTCGATAGCTTGACTCCTGTGTCAAAGAGCAGGCCTCCCAGTCTCCTCTAGTCCTGGAAAACTCTCTTCAGATAACTAGCAGACTGTCTCTTTCTCAGGCCCCTTACAGGAAGCGGGCCAATGCAGTTCACATGGGGGACAGGGGAGACATCCTGAAGCCTCTGCATCTCCACTTCCTGGTTCTGGCAAATCGCTTTGCATTCTGTGAACAAGAGCCCCTCCTCTTTGGTTGGCCCACCTCCCGATGACCTCCTTTGACCCAACTGGAGGCTCAGAAATGCAAGCCTGAGGCACAGAGGGTTGAATGCAGCTGCTGGGAACTCTAGCCCCAAAGGCCAGCACAGACATACTAGGTGTTCCCATCTACAACAGTTTAGTCAGGTGGCCTGTGGAGACGCATGGTCTTGATGTTCATGCTCTGACCTGGCAGTTTGTTCCTAAAACCCTCTCCTGACCTTGCCCTATTCACACTGAGCTGGCTGCAGATGTCAAAGACCTTCTAAAGTCCACTTAACACCTCGCTTGGGGTTTGATTAAAGAACTGTAAAACATGGCACAGCCAAATCCTTGTAATTAATACAGGTATTCATCTGTTTGGGGTCTAGGGTGCAGAGTCAACATGAAAGAAAGATTAGAGCTCTCCAGTGAGAAGCTCAGCCACCAACACAGCAAGACATAGGGCATGGTGATCAGTAAGTTCCCCTGGCTAGGAATCAGCAGGGAAAAGGGGCATTTGAGGGGCAGTGGGGAAAGATCCCCTCCCCCAGTGCTGCGGCCCTGTGGCTTGGTTTGTTTTCTATTGCTGTGATAAAACACTGACAAACCAACTTGGGGCGAAGCATTTATCTGGCTTATAGGTCACAGTTCATCATTGAGAGAAGCCAAGGCAGGAATCTGGACGCAGGAACTAGACCAGAGACCATGGAGAAATATTGCTCACTGGCATGCCCCTTCTGGCCTTCTTAGTTTTCGTATTTATACAGCCCAGGACCAACTGCCTAGGTATGGCACCGCCTACAGTGGGCTGGGGCTTCACACATCAATCATTAATCAAAAAAAAATATGCCCCTACAGACTTACCTACTGGCCAATCTGGTGGAGATATATTCTCAACTAAGCTTCCTTTTTCCCAGATGATCCTAGCTTGTGTCAAGTTGATTAAAAACAAACAAACAAACAAACTAGCCAGCTCAGGAGAGAACACCAACCCCAATCAGTTTTCCCAGCCCCTTCTACTGGGGCTCCGGACATGGGCAATAGGGGAGGGGCCAGCATAGTTGTCCTTCAGGTGACCCAGGTATTTCTGGGACAGGGAAGGCTAGGAGGAAGCCTGACCCATCGCTCCCAGGCTGTGGTGCTTAGGCACAGCACTTGGGCACCCCTGCCTAGCACTGCTTTCTGTTTCCTCAAAGCAAAGTCATAATATTGAAAACACAGGATTCTGGAAGCTGCTGAGTGGTGGTGGGGGAAGGTTGGGTTTGATCCTGAAGGGATGAGGTAGGGACGTGAAGGTCAGTATGGAGAGCAAACCTGACCTATAGGAGGACAGGGAGACACAGGCTGCAATTAGCAGGATGTGTAGAATGAGGAAAGTGAAATGTGCATGCGTGTGTGTGTGCGTGTGCACGTGTGTGTCCATGATGGAGAACAGATGGAACACTGAGAATGACGAAGGGAAAGGGGGTTAAGGTCTCTGCACAGATGCAGGAGGATGACCTATGACACAGGACCGCTGAAGGATCAGTATGAAAGAGTTAGGAGTCTGGGACCCATGACATAACAAAGCCAGGCTTCCTTGCCGGGATTCTGGGAACTGAGTCAGTTCCAGTGAGGTCTCCTAGCAACTGGGGGAAGCCAGGGCCATGGCACTCCTAACACCCCAGGGAGTGAAGGAAGTCTTCCAGTTTCAGGTGAATATCTGAGTTAGAGTCCTTTGCTCCAGTGGATGTAGTGGGGAGGGGGAGATGTCCCAGCAAGGATCATGGACGCTGTCTTCTTGGGTGGCACTTCTAACATCTCCACACACCACCTCCCAGGGCACAATGGATGCTTGAGGCTGGAATTCTAGAGTCACCAGCCCTGAGTCTGATGCAATGGATGTTTGAGGATGGAATTCCAGAATCATAGCCTATTTGGGGCTCAAAGGAAAGTCTAGGCTATGGACCAGCCATCAGAGATGGGAGAGGAGAGGACAGTGCCTCCCAGCTGGTGCCAGGGGGCCCCAACAGCCCTCTAGAGCTGTAACCCACATGTGAGGAAGGATAAAGGGGTTCTGGCTGATGGGAGCTGCAGGGAAGGACCACATCATATAGAGATATGTCAACAGAAACTGCCAGGGGTTAAGAACAGGGCTCTAGGCCCATGAGGTCTGTCACTGATGGGCTTGGAGTTCCCCTAGCTGGAGCCTCCTCATCCTGCAGAGCAGACTTCTGTGTACGGCAGGTCTCTATATCTTCTCATTTCTTATTGCTATGGAAGTGTTTTTTTTTCTTCTGAGACAGGGTTTCTCTGTGTAGCTTTGGAGTCTGTCCTGGAACTCACTTCTGTAGACCAGGCTGGCCTTGAGCTCACAGAGATCTGCCTGTCTCTACTTCCCAAATGCTGGGATTAAGAGCATGCACCACCACCGCCCAGCCTTGAAGTGACTCTTGCTTCTCCTACTATATACCCCTTCTAGAAAGGCTATAGATGTGCCACTGAGGGAGAAGTCTACTCTGAAAGTCGTTTCAGTCTGCAAGAGAGCCTGGACAACCATCCAGCTAAACATCACCTCATTAAACCCCTTCTCTGCCAGCCATTTACACTTTCGTATGAATGTATCAGGTTAGCTAGCTGAAGTCTCAAAGAGAAAATTAACTTGTTTTAAGAAAAAGAAAATGGGAACTATAATTTAAAACGAGACTTGTTGGAGGTGCCTAAACCTGGAGCTGCATGGACTAGTGTCAGAATTCTCAAAGGAGTGCTAGTGCTAGTAAGAGTAAGTGGGGTTTAGGAGACAGTTCAGTTGGTCAAGGATTCTCCACATAAGCTCAAAGGACCTGACTGTGTCTGATCCCTGGAATATACTTCATAGATGGGTGATACCAAAGCTTTATAATGCCAACGATAGAGAGGCTGAGACAGGCCACAAGCCCAGACCACTTGGCCAGTTCCAGGCCAGTGAGAGGCCCTGTCTCAAAAACACGGGAGACTATGAGTGATGACTGACTCCTGAGGCTCCCCTCTGCCTTCCACATACACACTCACACATGTGTACCAACACACAAAGGAACACTGATATGGGAGCACACCCACACACGTGTACCCACACACATGGTGTAGCAGATGTTCCTGCCCCCCCATTTCTTTTTGAGTTTTTTTTTTTAAGGTTTTTTGTTTTGTTTTGTTTGTTGTTAAGACAGGGTTTCTCTGTGTAGTCTTGGCTGTCCTGGAACTCGTTCTGTAGATCAGGCTGGTCTCGAGCTCACAAAGATCCGCCTGCCTCTGCCTCCTGAGTACTGGGATTAAAGGCGTGCGTCACCACCACTAATTCTAGGCTTTTTCATTTGGGTCACCAACCAGCTCCCAAATCACAACAGGGAGGCTTCCAGTTGGTTGTGAATGCTCAGCCTAGCTTAAGCTCATTTCTGGCTAGTTCTCTTTAACTTAAATTAACCTGATTCTCTCTATCTACCTTTTGCATCAGGGCTTTTACCTTTTTCTTTCTTGTTGTCTCTATGTCTGACTGGCTGGCAGCTGCGTGGCTTCTGGCCCCAGGCATCTTCCTCGTTCTCTTATTCTTCTTTTTGAGTCTAGAGTTCTCCTCCTATTTTTTCACTCTGACTGTTAACCCCACCTTTTCTTTCTCTGCCTAGCTATTGGCTGTTCAGCTTTTTATTAGACCAATCAGGTGCCTTAGGCAGGCAAAGTGAAACAGATGCAACACATCTTCACATAATTAAACACACATCCTTGCATTGTTAAACAAATGTAGCCTAAACACATTCCACATGCTAGCAGTGGTGGCACAGTCCTTTAATCCCAGCGCTCAGGAGGCAGAGGCAGGTGGATCTCTGTGAGTTCAAGGTCAGCCTGGTCTACAGAATGAGTACCAACCAGGACAGTCAAAGTTACACTGAGAAACTCTGTCTCAAAAAACTAAACCTAACAAACAAAAAACAAAACAAAAACAAATGTAACACATCTTTGTCTAGTTAGAATAATATTCCACAACACATGAGAGCACACCCACACATGTGTACCTACACACACAGGAGCACACCCACACATGTGTACCTACACACACAGGAGCATACCCACACATGTGTACCTAAACACACAGGAGCACACCCACACATGTGTACCTACACACAAGGTCACATCACACATATGTACCTATCACATGGAAGCACACCCAGACACACGCAAGAGCACACCTACACATGTGTACCAACACACAGGAGATCACCCACACATGTGTACAAACACAAATGGGAGCACACCCACACATGTACCTACTCCATGGGAACACATTCACACACGTGTACAAACACAAATGGGAGCACACCCACACATGTACCTACTACATGGGAACACATTCACACACGTGTGCAAACACAAATGGGAGCACACCCACACATGTACCTACTACATGGGAACACATTCACACATGTGTACAAACACAAATGGGAGCACACCCATCCATGTACCTACTACATGGGAACACACACATGTGTACAAACACAAATGGGAGCACACCCATACATGTACCTACTACATGGGAACACACACCCACACACGTGTACCTACACAAATGGGAGCACACCTTCACAGGTACCAACACACATGGGAGCACATCTACATATGTTTACCAACACACACGGGGGCACACCCACACGTGTGTACTGACACACTAGAGCAGACCCAAAAGAACAAGTTTCCAGAAAGGGGAGGAACAGTTGTCTAGAAACCAAGCCTGATTCCTCCATGGGGGTCCCCACATTCCTGGTAATTCTCAGGATTTTTGTGTGGCTCCACAACAGTGTCATGCCCAGTAATGACATCGTCTCCTTTCCCTGTAACACACCCTGCAGAAACCCCAGGGGCGAGAGCACCTGCGGAGGCTCCTGAACTGGGAGAAGTTTGATGAGCTGAGGGATGCCCGCCGGAGCATCCTGCTGGACACCCTCTACGACAGCGTCATCTTTGCTGTGGGCAAAGGCTTCCCATGGGTCGAGGTGGTTCAGGTGGTCAAGTTCACGGAAGAGCTGCTCAAGGAGACCAAAGGTAAAGAGTGACACCGAGGGCAGGCGCACGGGAGCTCCCGGGAGCCGGTGATCTCTTGAGAGGCACTGTGCTCAGAAGCAGCACAGTCCCGGGCCCTGGTCCCCATGCCTGATCTTTGTGGCTGCAAATCCTGCACCGCTCCACACTGTGCTCGTGAGCTAAGTGTGTCAGTCCCCTCCTTAGAGTCTTTCATGGACTCCCCCTTGCACCGTGGGATGGAAGGTTGTCCCCACAATGGGTTATGTTCCTCAGGAGGTGTCCCTTCTGCTGTAGACTGGTCACTGCAGAGCCATTACGGAAACATGATGGCTTAATTACAAAGCACAAATCTGTATTTCCCACCATCATTCCTCTGTGTGAATCACATCAATGTGTCTTCAGATTGCATTGTGGTAGCAGGTTTGGTTTTTAAAATTGCTATTTGAGTCACTGACTTCAATTTCATAAGGATATCCTTTGATGATTTTGGTTTGAGATTAGGGCAAATTTTCCACTGGTTTCTAAAATGGCCAGGGACATACTTTGATAATTTTTTACTATGAATTTATTTGAAGCAAGGCTTCTCAGCATTGCAATATCAAAACATTAGTTGAGTCTGAAAAATGTTGAAGATATTCTATATTCCACAATATTAAATATTCATCTAAAATTTAATTTTTATATTTAAATAAACAAGTAAATAATCTCAATAATATGCATTCTTAATCTTTAATCAATAGTAAAACTACATCTGCTGGAAAATGCTAAAAATGCAATACTCATAATTGGTAAATTGATTTGCAGACCTATTTTCTTCACCGACATATCCAGAGTGGTATTACATTTGGAGGGCATGAAGCTGGGCATGGTGGTGAAACATCTTCATCTCAGCACTTGGGAGGTAGATGGGTCTCTGTGAGTATATGACCCAGCCTGATCTATAGTGTACATAGTGAGTCCAAGGCCAGCCAGGGCTACATCGTGAGACCCAGTCCCAATATAAAATTGGTGGGGTACAAAGGGGTCACAGGTGGAAAGCATTCAAGAAGCCATGCTTACAACACTTGGGGCCTGGGCTGAAGGTGGAAGACTCATAAAGCAGGGAGTTGTGTTACCGTCACTCCGCTGCTGAAGGTTCACTAGTACAAGCTCACCTGTGCCCCCGACCAGCCACCCGTTAGGAACGCAGGGTCTTCTGCATGACCCGCTGACTTCCATCACCGCCTTTGACTTCACTAGGTTGCTCATCCCCAGGTTGCCCAACGCCAGCCCTGATCTTGATCCCCCTTATCTCTCCCCTCTGGTAACATCTGAGCCAGCCACCCAGGTTTGCTGTTGGGTTATGATCCAAATGTCCAAACTGCAAAAATTAGAAACTCTTAAAAGTTGATAGATTGCTTGTTGCACCAATGTGAGGACCTGAGCTGGGGTCCTCAGCAATCACTTAAAGGCAGGGCATTGTGCTAAATGTCCATATGAGGTGTATGCCCCCCAGCACTTGGGACAGAGGCAGGGAGGATTCCTGGGACTTGCTAGCAAAATGGTGAGATCTAAGTTCAGTGAGAGCCCTTAACTCAAAAAACAAGATAAACAACTAAAAAAGACACCCAACATTAGTCTCTGACCTCCATACATGCATGTGTAGGCCAGCACACCACAAACACATGCCCGTGTACACATACACACACCACAGTCCACTTGGCTCTTCAAAGAGCTGACATCTCGAGACATTTCTCCTTCACAAAGGCGTATTGCAGTAAAGACATCTCTCTATCTACTGAGAAGATGTCAGCATCTCCACATGTACACAGCATCCGCTGTGACGATCACGCTCCAGGGACCAAATCCACAAAACAAGACACGAAGCAGATTAGAACCCTCCACACCACTTACACCTCGAGTATCTGAAACAAAGCAAAGCTGAGGCAGACAGCATCACGAATAACAAAAAAATATCGTCATGTCAGCAACTTAAAATAGTAGGAGAAGAGTTAAAAGAATAAACAGAAAAAAATGCAAGCCAGGAACAGCATTTGTTATATTAAAATATTTAAACTGCCTGACTCAGACAGTCACTGACCACACTTTGAAGTCTTTTATCTTAGAGGGTAGCTGTTCTTTCCTCCTATAGATGCTAATATTTTTTATTGATTTTTATTGAGCTCTACATTTTTCTCTGCTCCCCTCCCTGCCTCTCCCCTCTCCCGTTCAATCCTCCCCCAAAATTCCCATGCTCCCAATTTACTCAGGAGATCTTGTCTTTTTCTACTTCCCTGTAGATTAGATCTATGCAAGTCTCTCTTAGTGTCCTCATTGTTGTCTAAATTCTCTGGGATTGAGGTTTGTAGGCTGGTTTTCTTTGCTTTATGTTTAAAAACCACCTATGAGTGAGTATATGTGATAATTGTCTTTCTGTGTCTGGGTTACCTCACTCAAAATAATGCTTTCTAGCTCCATCCATTTTCCTGAAAAATTCAAGCTGTCATTATTTTTTTCTGCTGTTTAGTACTCCATTGTGTAAATGTACCACATTTTCCTTATCCATTCTTTGATCGAGGGGCATGAAGGTTGTTTCCAGGTTCTGGTATGACAAACAAAGCTGCTATGAACTTAGTTGAGCACAAGTCCTTGTGACACGAATGAGCATCCTTTGGATATATACCCAAAAGTGGTATTATTACTGGGTCTTGAGGAAGGTTATTCTTAATTTTCTGAAAAATCAGCACACTGACATACAAAGGGGCTGTACCAGCTTGCATTCCCACCAGCAATGCAGAAGTGTTCCCTTTTCCCCACAATCTCTCCAGCATAAGTTGTCATCAGTGTTTTTGATCTTGACCATTCTTACAGGTGTAAGATGGAATCTCAGAGTTGTTTTGATTTGCATTTCTCTGATGACTAAAGATGTTGAGCATTTCCTTAAGTGTCTCCAGTCATTTTAGATTCCTCTGTGGAGATTTCTCTGTTTAGGTCTGTACTCCACTTTTTTTTTTTAATGGATTATTTGTTCTTTTGATGATCAATTCCTTGAGTTCTTTGTATATTTTGGAGATCAGACCTCTGTCTGATGTAGGGTTAGTGAAGATCTTTTCCCATTCTGCAGGCTGTCATTTTGTCTTGTTGACCATGTTCTTTGCTTTACAGAAGCTTTTCAGTTTCAGAAGGTCCCATTTATTAATTCTTTCTCTCAGTGTCTATACTGCTGGGGTTATATTTAGGAAGTGGTCTCCTGTGACAAAGCGTTCAAGTGTACTTCCCACTTTCTCGTCTATGAGGTTAGTGTGGCTGGCTTTATGTTGAGGTCTTTGATCCATTTGGACTTGAGTTTTGTGCATGGTGATAGATATGGGTTTATTTTCATTCTTCTACATGTTGATACCCTGTTATGCCAGCACCACTTGTTAAATATGCTTTCTTTTTTCCATTTGATTATTTTGCTTCTTTGTCAAAAATCAGGTGTTCAAAGATGTGTGGATTGATATCCAAGTCTTCTGTTTGGTTCCATTGGTCCTCCTGTCTGTTCTTATGCAAATACCAGGCTGTTTTCAGTACTGTAGCTCTGTAGTTGAGGTTGAAGTCAGGGATTGTGATACCTCTAGAAGTCCTTTTATTGTACAGAATTGTTTTGGCTATCCTGGGTTTTTTGCTTTTCCATATGATGTTCAGTACTGTTCTTTTGAGGTCTGCGAAGAATTTTGCTGGTATTTTGATGGGCATTGCATTGAATCTGTTGATTGCTTTTGGTAAGATTGCCATTTTTACTATGTTAATTCTGCCTATTCAAAAGCATGGGAGATCTTTCCACTTTCTGTTGTCTTCTTCAATTTCTTTCTTCAAAGATTTAAAGTTCTTGTCATACAAGTCTTCCACTTGTTTGGTTAGAGTTACTCCGAGATATTTTATCCTATTTGTGGCTATTGTGAAGGGTGTTGTTTCTCTGATTTCGTCCCCAGCCATTTTATCATCTGGAGGGCTACTGATTTTTTTTAGTTAATCTTGTATCCTGCTACATTACTGAAAGTGTTAATGAGTTGTAGAAGTTTCTTGGTAGAATTTTTGGGATCACTTATGTAAACTATCATATCATCAGCAAACAGTGAGAGTTTGAGGTCTTATTTTCCAATTTGTATCCCCTCGATCTCCTTTTGGTGTCTTATTGCTCTAGCTAGGACCTCAAGAACTATATTGAATAGATATGGAGAGAGTGGACAACCCTGTCTTGTTCCTAATTTCAGTGGACTCGCTGTGAGTTTCTCTCCACTTCGTTTGATGTTGGCTGTTGGCTTGCTGTATATTGCCTTTATTATGTTTAGGTATGTTCCATGTATTCCTGATCTCTCCAAGAACTTTATCATGAAGGGATGCTGTATTTTGTCAAAAGCTTTTTCAGCGTCTAATGAAATGATCATGTGATTTTTATTTTTCAGCTTGTTTACATGGTGGATTACGTTGATAGATTTTCATATGTTGAACCATTCCTGCATCTCTGGGATCATGGTGGATGATGGTTCTGATGTGTTCTTGGATTCGATTTTCCAGTATTTTATTTAGTATTTTTGCATCAATGTTCATGAGTGAGAATGGTCTGTAATTCTCTTTCTTAATAATGTCTTTCTGTGGTTTGGGTGTCAGGGTAATTGTAGCCTCATAAAAAGTTTGGCAATGTTTCTTCTGTTTCTATTGTATGGAACAATTTGAGGAGTATTGGTATTAGTTCTTCTTTTGAAAGTCTTGTAGAATTCTGAGTTGAAACCATCTGGTCCTAGACTTTTTTTTTTGGTTGGGAGACTTTTGATGACTGTTTCTATTTCTTCAGCAGTTATAGGTCTGTTTAATTGCTTATCTGGTCTTGATTTAATTTTGGTAAGTGATATTTATCCAGAAAGTTGTCCATTTCCTTAAAGTTTTCCAATTTTGTGGAGTGCAGGTTTTCGAAATATGACCTGATGATTCTCTGTATTTTCTCCGTGTCTTTTGTTATGTCCCCCTTTTCATTTCTGATTTTGTTAATTTGGATATTC